CATTTCAAATGCAACAATATGTATAGTACAACTGTACAAATGTGGTATGAGAGATACACGTCAATACATTTTTTTCTTTCCTTTAAAGTTTTTTTGTTATGTTTTTCTCAACAATGTCTACATCTAGACACTCTTCTTGATATTGTTGAGGAAACTCACCAAAAATATATAAAATTTATACAAAGATGAGAGATATTAATTACTAGTATGTATTAATAATTACGGAGTAACCACAATTCGAATCCGAAATATACTTGCATATAGTGCATCTAACTGCCTCTTTCTTCTCTCTAGAGAGAGGGGAACCCTAGCGGCAGTCTCCCCTCTTTGTAGGGGTTTAGATTTTCCGCCGCCCTATCGATCAATATGGGGTTGAAACGGCAGATTATACTGATTTTAAGTATTCTAACGCTTGGGATTGCAACTACGTCGGAGGAGATAGTGTTGACAGATGAACGAGGTGCGGCTGGGAGGTTGTATCGAGGTCGGATCGTGAAGCCTTGGTCGGCCATTCCGACGGTGGTGGAGTTGGTATTCATCTATATTGCAAGAGCTCGTCCTCCTCCGGAACCACCTCCATATTAGGAAGAGCTTTGTGGAAAGATTTTATTTCGGTATTATTTTCTCTTTAGTAGCAATTGTTTCTATTTTAGCCTGAGTAGATTTGGTTTAAATATTTGGATTTTTGGAGTTCTTTTGATAGGCAGGGTTTCAGTTCCGATCGTTTTAGGCCTAAATTTGTCCGTTTCAGGTTTAGCGAGTCATGTTACTTTGTATGAATTGGCTGACTCTAAGTCTACTCATGCGGTTCACGATTGGATCTGTAAATTCTGTGTGAAGATTGTCTCGTATGTTTCTCGATTTTAATATAACAGCTGCTCTTTTATGATCAAAATAATAATTACAGAGTATGTGTTTACTTCTAGCTTTCATGCCACATATGCACCACCGTACACATTGTGACATTAGAAATACTTTAGGCTATTGCAGTCATCCTACATCAATAATCCTAATTCCCAACCAACTTATATAAAAATTGTGTAGTCACTCTCTCAATTCACCTTTTTTCCTGCAATAGAACACCGTCAAAGTATTCACCAAGCACATTTTTTTTTAATTAATTAAATCCTTGTGTTATTATGCATAATTTTTTGCCAATACTTCTTTACAAATAATTATTATTTAAAAACTCAAACATTCCGGTGTAAAAGTAAATAAATTTGATGTTTAACTTTATTGTTTTTGATAGAGTATATGTGCTCAGACCCCATGGTCCACATACTCAGAAGGTCAAAGACACCAGATGGACATCCATGTGGCAGCCTTCGGCCAGGTGGGTACCGCAGCGGCTAGAGACAGAACTGCCCAGAGTACTTTCTGGAGACAAAGTGAGTCCCCCGTCGGTCGGGGATCGCATCGGCCAGGGGACTGCATCGGCCAAAGGCATCGGATCGGCCAGGGACTACCCTGGCAAAATGTACTTTCACGTTTAAAAACACTAAGTATTGTACTCAGCCCATTAGTGGCCTTATTTCGTCCAGAAGAGGTATGATTATTGTAATGGGCCTCATAAGCGCAAGACTAGGAGTCCAATTCCACATTTACTCCTATAAATAGCCCCCCGAGGGGTAGTTATAAAGGATTTAGAAATATTAATTGCTCACTTTCTCTTTTTCTAGCTCTCACTTCTCTCTAGAATTAAATACTCTATCAGTTTTTATTGTAGACCTTTTAAAAAATAATAGAAAGATTTTAAAAAAGATATTTTTATCATAAGATCTTAATTTCACACTTGATCTACTCAAGAAGTACTATGACATAAAAACTCGAGAAAAATTCTAATTTCTTTAAGTTATATATATGCAATATTAGTGGTATTAAAATCATACGTAGTAAAAAGTTTAAGTATTTTGATACTCCGTATGTTTTTTTTTTATAAAAATTGGGCAACAAATAAGATAACACTTAAAAAAAGATTGTTTACCGCTTTTCTCCCTTTTTTTCTCCAGCATTGCTAGGCAGCCTATTGCCTTTTCTTTTCAAGGCGGTGAGAGGGGGATTAGTTCCCCAACCCTATTGCCTTCAACACATTCCTCTACACGTCAACCCAAAAAGGTGGAATCACATGCTCCCGACGCTACTCACACATTAATCCGGCAGAATGATGGAAAAGAAAATAGATCTCAAAAACACTTTCGGAATGAAATGAAACTCTCACAATATTCACCTACACACATGGAGAAGAAGGAAAAAATAAATTTCCATTTTCACCTTGCAATTTGTGGTTTAATGCACCAAACCTCCTCGTGAAATATAAATTCGGCGCATTAGCCCCATGTGATTTAAAAAATGTGTCAAACTCCTCGTCTTATAGTTTTTCATACGCAAAACCCCTTTTATGAACAAATTTAATTGCCAAATAAATGAAAAATGATTATTTTTTTGTATAATTTAGAAACTTTAAAAAAGTTACTTACATATTCATTCATATTATTAAGAAAAGTGATTTTGAAAATTCTAAAATTTGTTCTTGGAGAGGGCTTTGCGCATGAATAGTTATAACATTCAGGAGTTTGACGAATTTTTTAAATCAAGAAAGACTAATGCTCCGAATTTATATTTCACGAGGGGTGTTTGGTGCATTAAACCCTTGCAATTTGCAACCAGCCTTATACTTCAAATTATATCATATTATGAGCCCGTTTGGTAGCACCAAAATCGGCTGTTTTGGCTGATTCTGCTGAAATTTATGATATTCTGGCTGGAGTGGCTGTTTTGGCTGATTCTGCTGATTTAAGAAAAAAATATTTTAAAAATATATTTTATTAATAAATTAAAGAAAAAATTATATGTAAAAATAGCTAAAATGGTCCTCTACAGTAACTTCAGTCAATACAGCCAGAAAAGTAACTCCAACCTTACTTTTTCGGCTTATTACACAATTCAGCGCGCGAAAGTAAAAGTTACGTGTTTGGTGAAAAAGCTGGCTGATAAGCCTGATAAGCCGAAAATAGAGTTCTCCAAACGGGCTCTATATCATATACAGCGGTTGTACGTTATTTGTGATTCAGCCAGCATCACAAATAATGCGTTTTGTTCGATTCTAAGGCTAATAATTGTGGTTCTCCCCTTCTGAACTTTCTACGTTTTCCTCCTGCAATTTTACGATCCTCTACAACTTCGCAAGTGAAGAGTCTCACCCCTTCTTCTCTATCATGTTCGCACCCAGCAGAATTAGCACGATATTACTTTAATTCGTCAAATTCAACAAACATAACAAAAAAATTAAACATACAGGATTTTTTAGAGAAGCAGCAAGTCGGGCTGCATAGTGAACTAAAGGAGAAAAGTAGGCCGTTTGGTAAGACTATTTTTCGGCTTATCAACCAACTTTTTCACCAAACGCGTAATTTTTTTTTACCCGCACTGAATTGTGTAATAATAAGAAAAAGTAAGTTTTTTTTTTAAGAAAAGAAACTTAATTAATATCAATCAGATCATTGTTCAAAATACAATTAAGAAAAACAGGAGGAACATCAAACCAAGTATGCAAATCAGCTAAAGAACAGGCCATTCTTGCAAGCTCATGGGCAACCTTCTTCGCTGATCGCCTCACGTGAGTAAAAGAAATGCAAGAAAAGGTAAGGTTAGATTTACTTTTCTAGTTGTATTGGCTGAACATACCGTAGATGATCATTTTGGCTATTTTTACATAAAATTTTTTCTTTATTTTATTAATAAAATATATTTTAAAAATATTTTTTTCTTGAATCAGCAGAATCAGCCAATGCAACCACTTCATCCAGAACTTCATAAATTTCAGCAGAATCAGCCAATTTTCGTGTTACCAAACGGGCTCATAGACAAGTGAGAGTGGTCTAAATGGACCACCTATCATATCTTAATTCAAATCATCAAGGAGGTAAATTTGAGAACCTTTTCTCAAATATGATCCTCTAGCGCCCGGGGATAGGACAAGTGCTCACGCAATCAATGTTTTATATTATCTCAAGAGGCAGTTTCTCCCGAAATTCAGTTAGGACTTAGGACCCTGAGATAGTATATAGATGACCATAAAAACCTATTAAATTATTCGAGCAACCCCAATTTACTTCTCTAAGGTGTTTAGGGTGAGTGATAGAGAACTCATGAATCCATGATTGTTTGGTTGAATCAAGATCGCCTTATGTGATATTGCCCGTTGCTATTTACGATAAATTTAATACTTTCTTGATGAAATTTAAATCATCATTAGTATATAAAATTTAGATATATAGGAAATACATTTGAAGTTTTATTGAATGGGAAAAATAAAATTTGAATTTGATACACAAATTGAGAGCCCCAAATTATTAAATATGAACGAGATGGAGTAGTCTTGGACTTGGGTCGGGCCACCTGGCCCAGGAACCGGCCCGGCTCGCTACTGTGCGGGCCCGACCCAGCCCGCTGAACTGGGTATGGTTCCGGGCCTAGGCCCTGTCCTGGGGGTTAGGGTGGGACAGTCCCGGTTCAGCCCACTCTTTGGAACCGGCTCGGCCGGTCCCGGGCCCGGTTCGTTTTTTTTTTTCATTTTTTTGGGCTTTTTCCTGAGTTGGGCTGGGTGTTTTGGGGGGTTTGGGGGGGGGGGGGGGTCAGGGGTTAATTAGAAAAGAAAAAAAAAATTAACATGGACCCGGCCCGTCCCGGACCCGGTGGTAACCCGGGCCGGTCCCGGACCTTCACCCCAAACATCAAAAGCCCGGCCAGGCCTAGGCCCAACCCGGACCTGACCCGAATCCAACACTAAGATGGAGTGCTGCGAGTGCATGCAAAATTTAAAACGGATCTTTTTCCAAATTTTGAAATCACTAATTTTTTGCATTAATGATTTATTGATAGATATGATTACGTCTTGATTTCCCTGCATATTAATCATATGGAAATGCAACCAAATCTTGTGTATATATATTTGCAGATACGAGTACATGATATGATATGACACTTGGTTTTTGATAGGATAAATGCGGGGAGTATCTGGAATATGTACCATGTAGTATCACAAATTATGTTTATACTTTTTTTAAAATTTGAAATCTCTAATTTTTGCATTAATGAATACATATATTACCTTTGATTACATTAGATCCTGATCACACTTTATCCACATGTATATATTATTATTGTTGCACATACACATTCGTCATAACTAGCCTTCGATCCAAATGTAGAGGGAGTAGCAATGTCGGAAAAATGTCTAATCATGACTTCTTTAGCACTGCTAGTTTGTCACCCGAGTTCAACCATTAGATGTTTCAAACCAAAGCCAAAGCCAAGTGTCGTTTCTCCTAAAAGAGAAATGCACAAGCCTCCTCCTCCAAAGAACAATCAGAACCCTAAACCCCAAGAGAGTTTAGATTCACATACTAAAAGGGTTCTTTCTTTTCCAAGGAAGAAAGAAATTCAACTATTAGAAGAGCTCACCGGAGGGGATCCCACATTGAGCGTTGTGGAGGCAGTTTTTCGGGCAGGGTGGAAGAATGGTGTTGGGTACAAAATCCAAAAGGTTTTTAGAGTGAATCCAAGTGAAGAAGTTTACAAGAGGTTTGAAGAGTATAGAACGATGGTGAAGTCAAAGAGAACGGAGAGTGGAGTGGGAGGCAATGGGCATGAGGTTTTGAGATTCAGAGGGGCTGCCATTACTTGCTCATTAGGGTTAGATCAATTCTCGAAGACCTGTAAGAGGAGGAGCTGTGGGGTTTGTAGAATCATCACAGGCCGTAATTATACAAGTGATGATGTAGCGACAATGGAGAGGTTGTCGATAACACTTTCCAAGACTAGTTGGAGAGCGCATAGAAGAGTTGAGAAATGCAGCCGTGAAAACACCAGGGTGGCCATTGTGGTGTGCAGAGTTATTGCGGGCCGCGTTGCTCTTTGCTGCAATAATAGAAATATTAGAGTAAGCACGGAAGAAGAAATTGAAAGTTTTGATTCTGTGGAGTATATGGATGGTTCTGAGAAGCTAATGATTTTGGATTCAAGAGCTATATTGCCATCCTTTTTGGTTTTGTATAACCTTTAGCCCAATCTGACGCACTATGAAGTTCTTGCGTTTCACATTTTTTACTTTGATCAAAACATGCCAATATCAAAAAAATGTGGTGTCAGTTTCATAAATAGTCTGCCAACGTGAAAAAGTGCAACATACGAACTTCATAGCACATCACATTGAGTTAATAGTATTGTTCACACTGTTCTCACGTTAAACATTGTTCTCATTTGATTGTAAATCAGTCTATATATACATATACATCATGACCCTTTTGCTCATTTTTAGTTGAAATGTGGAGCCTGTTCGGTAGGGGCAAATCTCAGTCCAGTTCCGGGTCATGGAAAGGGTGGAACCATAACCAGATGTATCCGATCCAATTCCAGTTTGGTGCCTTATCCTTCTCAGGAAATAAATAACAGTACCAGCACCAGTACAGTCAAATTTTGAAGGAACCATATAAACATAACACTTTTGGGCAAAATAATTTACCAGTCCACGTCCGGTTCCAGATCCGGGATTGCATCTACCCCAACTGTTTGGTAGCAAGTCATTTATTCCGATAATTCTACTCATGAACATAATGGATTTTAGAGACGACTCCTTATTTTCAGAAAATTCAGCAAAATAAAACACGTGTATTACATATAAACTGAATACCTCTTACCAAATGGGCTCTGCTTTATCTTACATATAAACTGAATAGCTCTTACCAAGTTTAGCTTTTCCAGATCTCTGTTTTGCATGTAAATGCTGACAGGTTTTTAATAATAAAATCATTGCAGCATGTTTCTTGAAGCGAGTTTGTCGCCAAGTATGGTAACCTTCCAGGAATCCACTTGTAGCATAAAAACAGAGAGTTTCTTGGGCACGACTGCAATTCATCACACATTGCCATATATTTATGAGGACGGATAAATTGATAAGAATAACACAGCAGCATTTTAAAAAAAATGCAAAGAGAACCATCAGAAAATAGTTTTGCATGCTAAAACTGGGACAGAAACCTTTGAATATATTGTCTTCTGTAATTATTCCAAATGTTTCTACAGTTTCACGGATCATGATACCACGCAGTCCAGTATACCCATCTAGCTTGCAAGCAGCAACTGAAAGAAATTTTATAATTAGCAACAGACATGGTGCACAATATAAAAAACAGCATAATGTTACTACATGAAACATTAGCAAGTTGATGGCTTACAGTACTAATATAATGTTGTAATTAACAGATTATGCATTGTACATCATGGCTCTATTTGTAAAATTTACCATTTATTTAACAAAAAACTAGTTGTCACAAGACGTCAAGAAGTCTCGTAGCTTTTGCGTTTCTGGTTTAAAATGCTTATTATTGTTTCTGGGCATTTAAAGTAAGTGGAAATAATTACATATTTATGACTAAAACAAAGGTTGTTTACAAAAATGTGACTAGTGACTAGAGTAGTAATGGAATCATAGTAACTTATGTTTAATTTTTATACTTAAGTTACCATGACACTACATTGTAGTAGCTATTAGACATATTTGTGTAAAGAAGTTTTATTTTAGTAATATTTTTGTAAAATTCTCTTTAAAGTGCGCCTATATGTGAATATAGGCAATAGTATATAAATCTGTAATTAGTAATTAGTGTATAAATCAACCAAGAATGTGTTATTATTCTAGGTTAGGGCATTTTACTTAATAAGTTACTATTATGATTATGCTTTGGTAATAGGACATTTTAGCAATGTGTACCATGATTCGTTTTCTTCGCGGTATTCTTTTAAGTTTGTTGTAAACAAAAGAAAAACAGTCAACCTAGAATAAGTGCGCCATGCAAGTCTGCATTTAGGAGATATTGTGCCAATTGATTTGTCCTGCAAGGTGAATCCATTCGGTCAAATTAGCACAAGGTTGGAGGATTCAGTAACAATGGAATTAACAAGCACTAATTGGCAAAGAGCAGCACTTCAGAGAAAAATATAGTACAAAACAGTTACCCTGCACATTTTATAAGTTTATTTATGTAGCACTTCCACATTTCATGCATTTGCTTGTAGATCTCATACCTAGGAAGTAACCAAAGGCATTCAGGAAAAGTGAAGGAGCACAACCAGATTTATGTATATATAGAACATAAATATGATACGATAGTATTTTGTTCGCTGTAATACGATTCTCAAGCACAAAGTTGTCTAGGATTCGATCACATGAACCTTAAGCCTATGTTTGAAACACGGAAAATTGTAGGGAAGGCAAATAAGTGTAATGATTTTTTTTAATGTTTGGCTTTACATTGTAAATTACGATGAAAACTCAAAACTGATTAAACCTTTTTAGAAGTTAACAAGATTTCTTAGTCTTTGTATAGTGGAAATCATCATCATTACCCCAGTGCCGCAAAGGCTCCCACCTTCGGTGGGGTAAGGGGGGGTCGGATGTACGCAGTCTTTGTATAGTGCAAATATATCAATAAAATGAATTCAGAAAAAAAGACCCATAATTGCTATATTGGTCTGAATCAAGTTTACATATCCCACATACTTTTTCTCCTTCCAGCTCTCCAAAATTTTCCTCTACTTTCTTCCCCATTTTATTTCCTTGGCATTTTACTGGTTGCAAATGAAACACATAAACCTTCAGCAAGAAAGTAGTTAACTTACTTATGAAACTCTGGAGGCAAATCGAATGATTTACATTTTTTATGTTGCTTTAGTGACATGCGGCTTTTGGACCGTTTTGACAGCTTCTTTAAAGCCCGTAAGGAAGCATTGTTAGACATGCTACTTTTTTGGACAACATTATCTAGAAGAATATAGTTGTCTACTTTAACACTTTTGGAACCCTGCAAATACTTCTGTGCTGAATCACCATGTTGAAGAAGCTCATGCAGTACATAATCAACAGTACTTCTACCATTAGCAACCTTGCACATGAAAAAACAGAAAATAAATTCTCTAAACTCTAATTAAGACATCTTTAGGTTCATGACTAGTAGTTTAATCCAAATAATGAGGATTATTACCTCTCCGACAGTTGACAGAAGATTCCCATCAACAGCATGAGAGAGTTGAAGGTATGCTGGGTGCTGTAGTTCTACATCTGTTGCATTATTGCAAGAGAATCTCAGTGTACACAAATTATCACCAAGCAGAAAAAATACTTTCATTAGTGATCTCAAAATGAAACGTAAAAAAGTTTGAATCAGAATTGTACCTTGTGATGAGGAATGACCTGAAAATGAAACCTTGCCTGAAAACAATAACGGTGTTAACAAAAACCATATGCACAGAAAGCCCAAACTTGTACAGGTTTATACCCATAAATTATAGAAAAGTCAAACCAGTTTTCATTTTCTCATGAGAAGATTAATTAATAAGTTAATAACTGAAACTGCTACCTTAAAAGCATACGCAATACAGTTGTCATAACACTGCTACTTCAAAACTCGACTACGAAGTACATGCTTAGTGAAGAAAACGGAACTTATGGAAGCACTGCTGTCTGGATGATTTAACAACGGCTCAGCCAGAAACTTAGTATTGGACGTTTGATGGATTAAGCTTCACATTCCAACATCATCTATAGGTTATAAGTATTTACACACACACAAATTGGGGGTGGGGGGGTGGGGGGGTCTCCTTTAGTCCAGTGAATGAAAAAAAATTCTACACGAGCTCTGCTTCATAATACCCTGAGGAACACAATGACACATACTTCTACTGTCCAAGCTTAAGTTTCTCACTCTCCTTTTTAAGACGTCCCAACTAAAGCTTCTCATTTCTTTTTAGGAAATAATCAACACTCCTAAATGACAAACTAATCATCAAATATTGAAAATTATACACCTATAACATCACAGTAATCATCATTAACTTAATTATCTTATTATGCTATATAGCCATCAGGATTACTTCTGAAAATATGCTCGAATTACCTAATTTAAATATTATCTAATTAACTGTGTCATTTTTCAATACGAATCTTAAGCCCGGGCGGAAGTAGTGCTTTAGAATAACTCATCTAACTGAACATGTTGTGACTTGTGAGAACCTCCTTCAAGAATGACATCAAATCCGAAATCAGTAATGAAATGCATTACAGTTCTCATTGCAGTTAAGTGAAGTGAGTTTATGCAGTTTTTCCATACATCCATAAGCGCACGCATCAACCATGAAATTTCAAGGAACATAATTTCAAAATGGCATACTAGCATGTGAAGAGAACCAGCAAAACTGACAGGGTAAAACGAGATGGAGCTTTTATTAAGTCGTAAAATCTAACCTTTCTTAGGTGTTGCATTCGAAATCAACGGATGGGAGGAAAGTGGTTCATCATCAATCTTAGAAGGAGATTGATTTACATGAGGAGTGGTGCTGGTATTAGTTCTTCGCTTCTTGGTCTGGAGATCCTGTTGACGGCGACCGTCGGCTTCCGCTTGAGCAAACCTCCGTTCTAACGCCTCTAAAGCCCGTTTCCTTTGTCCTTCGGGAGCTTTATCCGTCGCCATATCCAAGCTGGGAATGATCTTCGACCGACAAACAAAACGTTGGCGTTATTTTTTGGGAAAAGGGGCAAAAACACTGGTGAAAAGGGGCAAAAAAGCACAGATAAGTTTATACGTAGAACAGAAAAAGCTACGCTGGTGAATTTCCAAGCGGAATGGGATGCAAAGCGTCGGAGCTATAGAAACCGGAAACTGCGGACCTAAAGTTGTCACCAAGGGGGGATTCATGCCCTTAAACTTATTTTGTGGGCAAAAATCTTTAAAATCTTTAACAGGAGGGCAATTGCCCCCTTCACTCATGGTGAACCTTCACCCATTTGACGGAATTAGGGTTGTAAACGAATCGAATAATTTTGATTCGATTCGTGATTCGAATGTCGATTCGAATTCGAACAAGTAGAATACGAATACGAATACAAATATGTTTTTTTATTCGAATACTTTACGAATACGAATACAAATACTATGATATTCGATTCGAATACTATTCGAACATATTCGATATATATATATATATATATATATATATATATATATATATATATATATATATAGAGTAATCTTCCGGTCCCTCCCTTCCTGACCGGAGCGCCGTCCGGCCTCCTCCTTTTGGGTAGGTTTCCGGTGGTATTTTTTGTTCAAAGTTTTTGTGTATGTTCCTCATCAAGTCTAGTTCCTCCATACCAAATTTGAGAAAACAATTCCATCGGGAAGGCCGTCAAATGATTTTTGAAAGTTAACTGGTCCGGAATATAAATATAAAACGCAGTTAACTTTCAAAAATCATTTGACAGCTTTCCCGATGGAATTATTTGCTCAAATTTGGTATGGATGGACTAGACTTGATGAAGAACATACAAAAAAAATTGAGCAAAAAATACCACCGGGAACCACCCCAAAAGGAGGGGGCCGGACGGTGCTCCGGTCAAGAAGGGAGGGACATGAATAATCATATATATATATATATATATATATATATATATATCTTCATGCAATATATACTACTTCTAATTAATAATATAATTCAATGTAAAAATATTAATAACATAATATTCATGTAAATATTTTGCATATTTTAATTTAAACGTTCTTACTTTACCAAGTCAAAATAGCTTAATTTACAATTAAAATTCTCCATTGATTTATTTATATTGATGTTAAATTTGAAGTGACTTGTATCGTATTTTGTTTCATAATTTTAATTATTTCCACAATTTAACTTTAATGTTTTTCGAATTCCAATATTCGAATTCGATTCGAAAAAGATTCGAATATAGATATTCGAATATATCAAACGAATCGAATACGAATATCAAATAAGATTCGAATTGTAAACGAATACGAATACGAATACGAATATTCGATAATTATACGAATATGAATAACATTATTAAGTATTCGGTTCGATTCGATTCGTTTACAACCCTAGACGGAAGTAGCAACTGTAGCACTGTAGCAATCGTTAAGTTGCTCCCTCTAATTAATCTAATTTGTTTATGAATTAACTAGGTTTCAAGCCCGTGCGATGCACGGGCAGTACATAATTTAGTTAATTTTTGAATTTTATTTTTTTCGGAATCATATATAATGTGATGCAAAAGTAAATAGACTCAATTTAAATATAGAGTTCGTTTAATAACACTTCAATTGGTGGAATTGGCTTATTTTACTACAATTGATTAAATTCTAGCCTTGCATGATAACAAAAGTTAGTACATACATTTAAATAACATTTAATATAACAAAATTGATATATTTTAAACAATCAAACACATATTATTGCATTTCAGTTTGAAGTTGCTCCTCCATTAAATTTTTTTGGTTCAGGCAATAAATAATTTGGTGAAATATGTGTACGTAAGTTTACATTTTTCAATACTAAAATAAACATTAATTCTAGAAACAAAAATTGTAGCCGTGATTTCAATTGTTCTAAATTCGGTTTTTAATTTAACTATGTCTAATCTATGTTAATTATTAAACTCTTATGGTCTCATTCGGGTTGACAGAAGTTATGTAAAATCTAGAAACAAAAAATTGCATTCAGGTTACTTAGAATTTTGTAGGAGACAAATCTATATAATTCGTAAGTAGATATAAAACATACCATTGGTCTTCTATTTCAATAGATGTACATCCATTAGGATCATCGTTAACAACCATGCCAACCACATCTGCAAGAACAATATTTAGTGGCATTATTTTGTTATGGAGATATAGTACTGATATAATAATTAGTAATAATGTTTTGTCATACCAGTCAAAAGATATTTACTTCCGAGACGGTTCTTTAAATGTTGAAAGATAGGAAGTCAAATTTATAATTTGACACTTCAATTGCTTCTCCTTTGACTTCTTTGATGATAGTGTTATGAAAGAATTGTATCATAATTTTATTATCGGCTACAACACGATACTCTTCTTTATTTGGAACCATTGAGAAATTTTTTATGATGTGTATCCCTCCTTCCTTTATTTTGGGACGTAATGTATGAACATATCCACTTTTTATAGATGCATGAACATAATCACCTTGCAATCATCAAACATATAATTAGATTTTTGTGTAAAAGAAATGCATTAAAAATTCAAAATAAAAAAAAAGTATACCTCTTCATCGACCAGAACCATGTCTAGACAAACTAAGCTTCCTTGCCTTTTGTGGTTGATGATATCACAAAGGCGTGTAACACGAACTTTGATTGTCCAGTCGGACTTGGATGTATCAAGTTGACGTATTAGAGAATAACTTCTGCATTTTATGGAATATTAATCGATCAGGTATAATGCATAATAATATGATGTATCATATGTACATAGTATTCAATAATATATCACTAAAATGCTATAGAAACTTACTGTGATAACATTCTTGATGTAAGAACACTGAACAATAGAATTTTTCAAACTAATGAGAAAGCCAATAGTGAAAATACACTTTTGTTTACATTCTCTTTGTATTTATAGTAGCCTACATATGCACTATAGGTAGTTTTTATGTTTCTAATTCTAAATGTAGAAGCATAAAATATACTAAAAGTCTACTCCAAAATTACGTAGCTTTAAATTTAGAAACATAATAAAAGTGTTATAGATAAAAACACTTTTATTAAGAAACATATTAAAAGTGTTTTATAAGAGTGCCGAATGAAAAATTATACTGAAAGTTTATAAAATCAGATCTTATATCTTATACTAATATAAGAGTTATTAACAATAGTTATAGTATAGCCGTATAGGTTTACTCCAAAGATTACGTAGCTTAAGAGTTACCAAATAAGAGTGCCGAATAAAATCAAATTTTATACTAATAAGAGTTATTAATAATAGAGGAATGCTCCTGTCCAGACGTCCGGACAGGAGCCGCCGTCCGGCCGGCGGCGTTTGGCCGCCTTCCCGGTGGAATTTTTTGATGAAATTTTTATGGCATGTTCTCCATCAAGTCTAGTTTATCCACAAAAAAATTCAGCTAAAAACTCAATCGGGAAGGTCGTCAAATGATTTTTGCAAGTTAACTGGTCCGGAAAATACATATTCCGGACCAGTTAACTTGCAAAAATCATTTGACGACCTTCCCGATTGAGTTTTTGGCTGAATTTTTTTGTGGATAAACTAGACTTGATGGAGAACATGCCATAAAAATTTCATCACAAAATTCCACCGGGAAGGCGGCCAAACGCCGCCGGCCGGACGGCGGCTCCTGTCCGGACGTCTGGACAGGATCTTTTCTAATTAATAATAGTTATATATATGATGACATGGCAAGGTTACGTGGCACTCTGTATGCTCTTAAAAAGTTCCTCTTTTATATATATATATTGATTTTGTAAATTAGTTGGCACATATTATGAAATACTACGTAAATGTAAAAACGATTAGAAAAGAATGATATGCGACAAACTTAGGATGTTTCGAGTTGGATTGTAATTTGTTGGTCTGGTCTGATCTGAACTGATCTAGTAATATCGGGTCTCTTTACATTTTATAACTACAGGAGTATAGTCTGATCAAGTCTGGTCTGTTCTGTTTTGTGTAAGTCTAATCTGGTCTGTTTAAATCTGGTATGGGACTGGAAACCGTCCAAATAAAAACATCCTTAATGGGACTACAAAAATGTAAAATGAAGCAAAGATAGAGGACATGGAATATTAATAAAAATACATATTAAATTTAGTTTATTTGTAATTCAATCAATTCAATTAATTGAGTGATAAATTTTAATACGTTCAACTGATTAAGTTAATTTTCGTGTTATTAATATCAAAATATTTATTTAATATGAAATTAATTACATATTAAATTTAATTTCTTTGTAATTCAATAAATTCAATTAATTGAATCAATTCACTGGAATTTGATAAATTTTAATACATTCAACTGATTAACTTAATTTTCGTGTTATTAATATGAAATTATGTATTTAATATGAAATTAATTACATATTAAATTTAATTTCTTTGTAATTCAATAAATTCAGTTAATTGAGTCACTTCAGTAGAATTTGATAAATCTTAATACATTCAACCGATAAGTTAATTTATAAAATTCTACTAAAGTGACTCAATTAATTGAATTTATTGAATTACAAAGAAATTAAATTTAATATGTATTTTTATTAATATTCCATGTCCTCTATCTTTGTCTCATTTTACATTTTTTGTCTGTTCCATTAAGGATGTTTTTACTTGGACTGTTTCCCGTCTCATACCATACTTAAACAGATCAGACCAGACTTACACAGAACAGACCACACCATTCTTGAACAGATCAGGCCAGATTGGACTATACTTCCGTAATTATAAAGAGACCAGATATTACCAGACCAGACCAGACCAGACCAAATAAGACTTAAACAAACCAGACCAGATCAGAATAGACTTATACAGACCAAACCAGGCCAACAAATTACAATCCAACTCAAAACATCCTAAGTTAGTCGCATATCATTCTTTTCTAATCGTTTTAACGTTTTACGTAGTACTACCTCCGTTTCTTTTATATTGGGACGGAAGAAGGTGGCACGAGTTTTAAGAAAAGTGGGTTTGTGTGGTTGATATTAATTGATAAAGTAAGAATATAATAAAGTAAGAATGATTTTGAGCTACACAAACTTTACCAAATAAGATATGTGACAATTAAATAGGGACATCCCAATATGATAAAATGAGACATTAAAAGGGGGACGAAGGGAGTATTTGATAATATGTTATATGTGCCAACTAATTTACAAAATTAGTTCATAAACAATTTAGATTAATT